TCTGGCACATCCAGTAGAAGACTATTAAACTTAAACTGCCCTGCCTCCACTGGGACATCATGCTCTCACATATTTCACCTTCTCGCCGACAGAGGAAATAGTTCTCAATCACGCGGCTTTTTACGAAGAAGAAAAAAAAAAAAAAAAGGAAAAACAGAAGGGACAAGAGTGAGAAAAAGAAAAATGGTTGGCAGAGAGGGAGGGAAAGATGTGTCACTCCAAGTTGAGGAGGTAAATCAGCAGACCAGGAGGCAAATTGAGCAGCGTTGGAGAGGAGTGTGGTGAGGTGGAGGAATATCAATGTGGTCCTGTGAGGACATGGCCCCGGGTTCTGGTTCTGGACAAGTTTGGCCTGAGGTGAATGTGTTCCTAGAGAATCTGGTCTTTAAAATCTGTCTGACTGCAGCTCTGTCATCTGTCACTGTCAGGAGAGGTGACAGCCCCCCCGCCCCCAAAAAGAACTGCCCCAGATGCTGTAACAGCACAGTTTCCCTCTCTCTCCCTGCTTCTTTCTGACTCCTTCTCCTTTCGATCCACGCTCCTTTTCTCGCCGTCTCGCTGGACAGCTGTGTCTGAGTGTGTGACTGCTCTGGTCACAATTCCCTTCTGTCCCCTTGTTCATAAAAATGAGATTGTTTTCTGCAGCTTTCTGCTGACACCGGCTCAGCACATAAACAGAGCCGTAATTTGTGCAACAACAGTGAGCTACAGGGAAGCACTTCCTCGCTCCCAGGAGGCGTGCTCAGAGAAGGTGAGTTGTTATCCGCTGTTTACACGGCAGAAGAAGCAGTATTTTACTTTATGATAATAACCTACTGGGCTGGAACGCACAGCAATACCTGTTTCACCAATCGCCTCGCTCCTACTCCCAGACTAAACTCTTCCCAGAGCTGAGGCTCAGGCTGTGACGGTGCGACGGCAGAAGAACGTTCCAGTTACAGAATTAAAGTTTGGAATAAAGTGCGATGCACGACAATAAATACAATCCCCGCAGCAGTTTTAAAAAACGCACTGTAAGTCGTGTTTCACGCAGGCGGCGCTCTTGTGAGTGTTGAAAAGCCGCAGCGCGTTGTTCAACTTCAGCAGATGTTCTGAAAGGAGTCGAGGACGAGGACGGGTTCCACCAATCACCACAGATGGTGAATTAACATTTGACAGTGTCATCAGCGGGAACACGGTACAGTAGGACACAACACCCGGAACAGGTCCAACATCATGTCTGACGTCCACTACCTGCCCCCCCTTTGACCCCCGTGACAAAGGCCGTGACCTTTGAAGGATCAGTGGAACCTTCTCAGTGTGAGTTCCGTCTCTGAGAGGAGAACGTTCTCTCACAGCTGCAGTGACTTCCATAAAGGAACTAATGAAAAGAAAACCAACAGCTGACAGGACGTCAACAGTTTCATACGACAGGACGATGGCGGCGAGAAGGAATCAGACGCCTCTTCACTCCAATTAGCTGCACATTAGTCTGTCGTTGGATAAAAAAGCTTTTTGTTTCTTTCAGAGAAAGAAAAACAAAAACCACAAGTCAGCAGAAACTGTTTAATCAGACTAAACTCCTGGGATCATTACAGGCTATAAATCAACCACAAAAAAAAAAAAAAAAAAAAAAATCCAGTCACTCAGAAAATGTCTTATTTGTCATCACTGTGTGAAACTGATGTGGATCAAACTAAAACATCGACTTCAGGATTTTTTCTTTTTCTGTGCCTTGAAAAAAAAAGCTCCAAACACCTCACGGGAATCTCACACACACACACACACACACACACCAACATTATCATTCAGTGAGTGCCCTCCTCAGACTGTGGCCCAGTGTGACAGGGTCAGACTTTGAGCAGAGGTGGTCACGGGGTCATTGACCGTGACCCCGAGAAGCATAAACCAGAGGCCACCGCCGCTGAGGAGGAGGAGGAGGAGGAGGAGGAGGCAGGACGTACATGTGTGTGTCTGTATATCACACTGAGCTCTTGGCTGTACTTTACTCACTTCCATTGTGTTCCAAAGACAACCACCTGGTGGCAAGCTGGGAACAACAGCCAATCCATCCTCATCCTGTCCACAAATAGACGATAATAAAATAATAACAGCAGAGGACACTGTCTGCAAGTTTCCAAACTATATTCACCAGTTTGCCCTTGGACGCTCTCCGCTGTTCACCCCCCCTCCGCCCCCCCCTCCCCTTTTCCCTCTGACCCTCAGTGGGGGCAGCAGGGCTGTCAGTTCAAAACAATGTGCCTTAGCAGGAATCGCTCGACTGAACTGAACGAGGGAGCGGAGGCTTTGTGTTTGTGTGTACGTCTCAGTGTGTGACGGGAATAATAAACCCACAAAGGAGGCGTTTGACTCGTCTTGTCTAAGAGCCGGGACAAGTTACACAGAGAGGAGAAGAAGAAGAAGAAGAAGAAGGAGGAGGGGGAAGTAAAAAAGCAGCTGCCGGAAGAGCAGGCTGAGGTG